CAAATAACAGTAGAAATGAGGACGTTGTGGCTCAAGCATCTCCAAGCCAGAATCATGTCCCCAGTGGTAGCAGGTAGAGAGATCACCACACACTGCGAGTCAGTTAGCCAGAGAATAAAAGAGAACCTGTCTCAGATAAGAAGTGAGGCAACAACTAAATATGGATGCTATCCTCTCACGTAATTAGGCTCAAATCTCCTCCACATGTGACCCCCCAGACCTGCATACACACACATCATGTATGTCAAAGCCACACCCTCAAATGCGCACATGTGCATGCACACACATGAATACATGTGTTATGTCTCTCTTTATGAAACCAGGTCTTTATCTCAACATGGTGTATTCCTTGCCTAAGTACTCACTGTCTTCCTAGAAAGTTTCTAAGAGAAAAATTTTCAGATATTTTAATTCCTAGATAAAACATACAGTAAAGAAACTATATTATCAGTTTGCTGCATTACTTAAATTTCTCCACCTTGTCTTTCTCCTCCCCTTCTTTCTTTCTTTCTTTCTTTCTTTCTTTCTTTCTTTCTTTCTTTTTCTTTCTTTCTTTCTTTCTCTCTTTCTTTCTGTCTCTCTCTCTTTCTTTCTTTCTTTCTTTTTCTTTTAGATAGAGTAACCCTTAGTACACCTGGCTATTCTAGAAATAGCACTGTAGACCAGGCCTTGAGCTCAGAAGTCTGCCCGCCTTTGTCTCTGCCTCCCAAGTGCTAAGATTAAAGGCATGTGTCACCATGCCTGGCTATTTCTTTTTTTTCCTTAAGAATGCATTAATAGAAGATATTGCAGTTTAACCTCCTCCAACTCTTACTAGATGCTCCCCACCTCCTGACCTGCTTAACTCCATGCCCCACCCCCATGTGAGTGGTATAAAATCCCAAAAGTTCATGTGATTTTACAGCATTCATCAAAACACAGTATTATAGACATGAAAAATGAAGAAACTGATTGCCAGGAATTAAGAAGATAGCTGTTATGGGTTGGCAATTATGGCTATGATTGTAGAAGTAGAACTGTCCTAATCTTACTTCTATTGGTTTTTAATTAACAACTTTTCCCTCCTACCTCGGACACGATTACTGCCCCAATGGCTAATATGCTGGCAGCTTGGTCCCCATGTGGCAATATTGAGAGGTGGTTGTACTTGTAAGAGTCAGGGCCTATATATAGTGCGGCAGCCCTGGAAGTGGGACTGCTGCTCTCTGCAGGAGTTAAGTTTGTTTTTACCTATAACCTGCTCAAGTCCTGCAGAAGGATTTTTTTTCAGAGAGCAAGACTAGTCCCGGTTACTCTGGCTTCCTGCCTCAACATATCTCTCTCAAATATTCTCCCAAAGTGTCATTTACTGTGGTGTGGCATCAACAATTTGGCCCTGACCTGAGTCCATGTTCATGAGACAGTATATTGCCTCTTGTCCTTTGACCACTAAAACAGTTAAAGACGGACCACAATCCAGTGTGTAGGGTTATGAGAGTGCATTAGAGTCTTTGGGATACAGGATATAGTAATGTGAATCTAAAATATCTCAAACATAAATTTAAAAGCTAACATACATATGGACAGTAAATATGTCATTTTGTCAGTTATAACATGAGCCTTTCAGGCTTGACATCACAATGGTCAGTCACTATGACTAACGTAGAATCTTTAGGTCTCAGTGGTTGGTCTGCCAACTGCTCTGTCTGCCTTTGGCGTCTAGTGCCAAGGATTAAGAGAAGTTTAGTCTACTGAAAGGCTCTCCATTCAAGGCTTCACTGGAAAGGTATTCTCTTAAGAACTAGTTCTGATCCTTATGATAGATGGGTGGGCTCGAATTATTCTGTCTTGTTTTCTCCAGATCATGTGAACTTGTTCTACACTCAGCACAGCCCTCGTGAGAAACGAATCATTTTATGAAGTTCAGTGCTGATCCCCTCAGAAAGGAGATATCACGGTGTCAGGGGACAGAGGTCCTTGGACACGTGGGACAAAAGTGCTTGTAAATGAACATGCCTGTCCAAGTTAGGAAGGAGGATTTACGTTTTGCTGAACTTGGTCATTTTGCCCAGTGTGAGCATGAAGGCCAACTGAATAGCGGTAGGACCTCAACCAAACATCTAAGAACTTTCTGGTTCTCAGAAATTTTTTAGTGTTTCTACATTTATTGTTGCTAACACCAGTTTTACAAATTTGAACTCTGTTTTACCTAAACTAGGAATGGCTTTTCCAAACATCCTTATGTACTTGAATTTACATGAAACCAAGTGTGAATTACTTTGGCCTTCAGTCAAATTAGACAGCTGTTGCTTTCCACGACATATGAACATCGCTATGACAAAAATAGGGTTACAGCTGGTGATGCGAGTTACAGCGTGTGAAGGAGTATCTCAGGTCAGACCCACAAATCCTGAGTTTGTGTCTGAAGTCGGGGCGTTTCAGCATTATGGACTTACCCTCCACCGCTGAGAGGAAAGCAAGCCACACAGAAACTGCCTGTATTGTTTCTGTAGTCATTTGTTTACTCTGAACATCACAAGGAGAAGAGGTTTTCAATGCATGGCCTTAAGCTTTTTGTGTGATATCTTGCTTGTAATTCTTTGGGTGAGCACTATCACCCCAGCTGGTGTAACCACACAGGAATATGTATACACACAAATGCGCACTGTATGTTTAGGTAAACATAAGCTAACTTGATTCCTTGAGGGTTAATCAGACTTTCTATTTGTCTCTCAGCCCTTCCTCTGCTTCTGTAGTGACCGTGGAATCAGAGCCTCCCTCTCCATGCTTCCCACTTTCTCCTTCAGATCACCTGCTTCCTGCTGGTCCCCTTCACAGTCCCTGCCCCCATGGTCCCTTTTTACTTCTGCTCTTTTTGCAGTTACTCCATGTTGTATATTCATTTTTGAGGATTTTGAGCTAAGAACTGCAGACGAGAGAGAACATGTGCTGTTTGTCTTTCTGTGTCTCTGTTACCTCATACTATATACTTTTGGATTTCCATACACGTAACTGCAAAGTTCATGACTCTGTTGTTCTTTACAACTGAACAGTATTCTTTTGTGTGCATGTACCGCAATTTTATTGTCCATTCATCTGTTGAAGGATATTCCAGTTGCTCTATTTTCTAAATGCTGTGAACAGAGCAACAGTGAACACGGCTCAGCAGGTGTCTGCGGAGTAGAGTTGAAGTTCTTTGTGCATATGCCGAGGAGTTGGCCAGCTGGGCCATATGGCAGATTTCTCTAAGTGAGGACTCTCCAGACTGATTGCCCGGGTGGCTTCTTAAGTTTTTATTCCCGCTAACAATGAGTTTTCCTGGTTCCCCACACTTTTGTGTGTGATGGCCTTTGTTTTGTTGACGTTAGCCATTCTGAGTGGGGTAAGATGAAATCACAAACTTGTTTTTGATTGGCACTTCAGGAACTGATAAGGAAGATGAGCACTTGTTGAGATATTTCCTGGTCAAAACTGTCTTATTTGAGTCTTTCTTGAAGATTATATCACAGTGACTTTCATGAACACATATTTATGAAAACATATAAACAAAAATCACATATACATATATGCACGTATATACAAACATACATGTATTTCGGCAAGTCCAAGTGAAAAAGACAGAGAATGGAAACAATGATTTAGTTAGAGTTAGAAAACTGAGTCTATGGCACTCTTCACATTTCTCATAAACTTTATCCTACTGACCCCTGATTATGCTACTGACCTCTTGACTATCCAATTGACCTCTATCCTGTTGACCTCTGACTATCCTGTTTAACTCTGGCTATCATGGTGACCTCTGACTATCCTACTGACCTCTTGACTATCCAATTGACCTCTATCTGACTATCCTGTTGAACTCTGACTATCATGGTGACCTCTGACTATCCTACTGACCTCTGGCTATCTTATTGACCTGTGGCTATCCTATTGACCTCTGACAATCTTGGTGACCTCTGACTATCCTGGCGACCTCTGACTATCCTATTGCCCTCTCTCCTGTTGACCTCTGAGTATCCTATTGCCCTCTTTCCTGTTGACCTCTGAATATCCTGTTGACCTCTGAATATCATGTTGACCTCTGGCTATCTATCGTAGTGACCTCTGACTATCCTGCTGACTTTTGTTCCGTTAGTGTTTGCCCTGTGACAGGAGAAGCCTCTTTACTGAGATGGAAATTCTAAATGGGAAAGTCACAGATGCGAAAATCAAGAATCAACCCCTGATGTTCCATGGAGAAGTGGAACTCAGAAGAGGCGGTGTCAGTAAGAAGTGTCACCTCTACCTGTACAGAGATTTCTTGGTTGTGACGAATAGTTGGTATGCTTTACTTTCAGACTCCTAATTACCAGAAGTCACAATGTGTCACCCTTACCGTGGGACAATCCAAGGGAATTTGCCCTTATGATTTTACAAATGTTTTGATTCTTTATTTATTTAACAATCCATGGAGCCTTTGTTTTGTCCAATGCCCTAGTAGAAAATAAAATGACAAATCTATACTAACAGCCATGCTTGTTTGCACATACCAATAACACAAACATTTTGGGATGTTATTAGCATAACCAACTATAGATCTGGCTATTAAGGGGGAAAGAAACAAATGGCAACCTGGGGGGAATGTTTGAGAATAAAATTGTTGTGGTACATTATTCATACTTCCAAGATAGCTTGTAGATTTAAAAATCCCTTAACAAGTTCATGGAATTGATCCACACACTCCAACTATAAAAAAGCAATCCCAGTGCAAAGAATGCTGGCCCTTGGAAAGAGGAAGCCCACACTGGATGGAGGAGAGACTTGTTCCCCAGAGCTGTGCTCCCACAAGGATGCTGAGAACATGAAGAGTTGGGGAGGCTCAGCAGTTCTGATCTGTGGTTGGCTATTCCATTTCCTGGATCAAAACCCTGTCTCTGTTGCTTTCGGCTATTAGCCATTCTGACCCTTCCTCACGCATGGAGTGGGGTCAATAGAGATTATCTGATGCTGTTGAGGTTAAATTGAACAGCAATCATTTTTAGGTTTCTTAGAAAATGGCAGGTAGCTATCCATCATGTCACAGCAGAATGGGTAATGTGTTCTTTAAATCCAACTGTTGACTCGGGTTTAAGGAAGCGTGAAACCTGAATTCATTGAAATAAGACCAAATTATTGAAATGAATGTTTCCTCTCTGTACATATGAGAAAGAATAGTTAAGACAGTATGTTTCAAATACATTGTATAATCTATACTCAATGCAGATGTGGAAAGGGTACTGTCAGAGCCTCCCAGAGGCACACTGCCCTCAGTGAGGCTTTACTGGATTCTATCTGCCCACTTGCTGGGCTGTGCCTGGAGGGATAGAGATGAATTGGTGCTGATTTGCTTATGCCATGAGCACAGATTACCCCATTTAAAAAACAAACTAACACAGATTTTCTTTAATTCTTTTTTAGGTATAAGATAACCTTTAAGATAAAATATGTCATCCCTCTGACATCCCTCTGGATTGGGGACTGTGTGGACACAGACTTTGTAGGCCCCAGTCAGGCCAGGAAATCCATTTTCCTAGGCTGGCCCATGGAGAACTTCATCGCCACTTTCCGGTAATAACCAGAACTTGTTCCTTTGGTGGCACTGGGTGTGTATGGAAGGACACAATTGACATTATAATATCTAGTACACACAGACAGTTTAAATGTAAAATCTGTTCTCAGAACTTAAAAGAAAAAACCATTTTAATCTGATTGTATGAACACTGTCTCTTTATAACCTACTGTATTATTTTCTAAGAGACATTTCAACAGGCTTTCATTTTAAAATGAATCAAAAGTGGGAGTCATTTAAGGAACATCCTAAGATATTGATCATTGGTTTTTTAGCAGACGCCAATTTCCTGGTAGCCAGAATAAAAGTGTGTGCAGCTTCTATGGAAGGAAGTGTAGGGAGGAAGGCTTTGGGACTTCTTTTCCAGAATCTTAGATAGATGATCAGGTGTTATCCTACTAGATGAATATGTTAGGTACTTTTCTTCAGTAATATTAATTATGCCAGTTAGCATCAAAAATTCCTTTGATGCCCCCAAATGATCAGGATCTTACTGTACTAAATTATATTTCTGTCATAAATGTCAAGAACTGCAAGTGTCTGTTTATCAAATTACATATTTGATGACTACAGACAAGAGGCGAGACTGGCATCATTAGACTCTCAGAGGTGACTTGTGGGGAGCAGGCTAGTTTCCCATTCTCAGGCCACCATGTAGATAGGGACTGTCAGTGTGTCCTAGAGAGCTCTCAAGTGGCACTGAGCTTAGGGACTCCCAGGGATCGTGTGGAAGCACATGCTACTCTGGACAGCCACAGAGCAGCTCTATATGAAACACACTAGCTACCGTATGAAAACAATCCACCTACCATATGAAAACAATCCACCTACCATATGAAAACACACTGGCTACCATATGAAAACACACTAGCTACCATATGAAAACACTCTAGCTACCATATGAAAACACACTGGCTACCATATGAAAACACACTGGCTACCATATGAAAACACACTGGCTACCATATGAAAACACACTAAATACTATATGAAAACACACTGGCTACCATATGAAAACACTCTAGCTACCATATGAAAAGTTCATGCATGAGGTCCACACTGTTCTGTCCTCCCATCAATCCTCCTCCAGACCTCAAGCCTCACCCCAGAGTTCCCTCAGCTAACACACATGTCTTCATGCTTTGTAACATTACTCAATACAGCCTCAGCTCATTACGTAAGGAAAACATTCCCAGAGATTTTTAGGGAGAAATCCATCATTGTGTCCTTCTCTCAGTCCTTTCTATTGTATCACTGATTTGCCAGGTTATTACATTTTATTTTGATTGTTCCCTTATGTTTGACATGTGATGAAGCAGTTTAAATGCATATATGTAAAGAGTTTGATGAGAAATTTCCAAGAGTTCTTCTTACACTGAGTGGTTGAACTTTAGATATGTTCTTTATATGTTAGGTTGGTTGTTCAGACCAGTTCTTAACACTAGTATCACTCATTTGTAGCAATGCATGTCACTCAGTGAATTTCATCTCTGTTGTTATTTTCCTTATGTAACTTTGAGGGATTAGAAGTGGTATACTCATACATTAGGGGCCGTATGGATGGCTGGTAGACCTCTCTGATAAATGCATCCCCAGAATAATACAGATGGGAAATCGGGAGCACTTGAGGAGCTGTTAGTGAAGTAAGCAAGAAATATGCTCACCATTGGGAAAAAGGACAATTGAATGGTTCCACAGGAAGTCCAACAACTATTCCATGTGAGTCGGCAGCTCTGATCCTATTTGTAGACTCATGTAAAATGAAAACACACTACATTAAAGACTATGCACAAAAATTTCAATAGCATAGTTCACTACTAGCAATAGTATAAGAAACTAAATATTCAACCATTAAATGGATAACAGAAATGAAATACTTTCAGGAAGTGTTCAATTTTATATATCTCTTGTATGATCCAATGCAAACAAATCTTCTACCTTTGCAATCTCTTCAGTCAGCAGGAACCCACAAGGCTCAATCTCCCTTTTATCTGGTGAACATCAAGCTCAGAGCAGCTGCCTCACCAGACAGGGCTCAGTTATCACAGATCACACCAAGTTCCCCACCACTGCCCACTTCTCGTCACTAGGAGGTCCTCTGTCAAAGGGCAGGTCTGTCAGGTTCCCAGATGTGTGCAGGACACTCACTTGATAACCACAGACCACAGGCTTCTAATATTGTGTCATGAAAGAAACTCGACTTTATATGATTTAACTTTTCTCCATCTTTATATTACAGGTCTGTGGACCAAAAAAGAGATTGGTGGTGTTTCCTTGAAAGGTAGTTTGCTGTGCATTTTTAATTCTGTAAGCAGTGATGAATGAATAAGAGTCTGTGCAACATACAGGCCTGTTCCCCTTGTTCTGATAGAGCTTTTAGTCTGTCCCTAGTCATCTTCTGGGCTAGATGGTCTGGCGACTATTGTAATTTCTCTCTTCTCTGTGTTTGAGGAAGTGTGGTGGCTGCCATTCTCATACGTTCCTCTTCTCCCTCCTTTATGTTGGGGCAAAGATTATTCCAAAACATAATAGTACTGCTCAGACACATCACTGAAAACAAATGCTACTCCTTGTTCATAAACTCTGTAAAGTGTCGTCTACAGTAATGTACACAGGAATGTTTGACAACTGGCACTGTTTCCTAACTGTCAAAACCTAAGACAGCTCTGTCTTCTAGAACTTACCCTGTTATTCCAAACCGTGTTTTTCATTTGATGTGCAATGATATTTCTGCTTAGTTCATCCATTTGCTTTAAACATGTTTAAGCATTGACAAACTGGATTGATGAACAAGTTTATTTCATATCTTTGTCTTTTTCTTGAATGTGAGCAGATCTATTAAACAGACAAAGGAGAAGTACCATGGGAGGAGTACTGCACTGGAGATATTCACAGATGACATCCCGAGCTCGAACACTGTATGTACCTCAGACTAAAATGACGTTATAATAATAATAGATGCGGAAAAGGAAGATGAGGTCAAGGAAGAGAAGTTAGTGGAAGAATGGGGAGAAGTGGGATGAAAAGGGGGAGAATTAGAGAGATAAAAATGGCAGGACATTGAAAGTTTAGTCAGTGCTACCAGGAAATAAGTATTTTCCTGTATACAAATGCATCTTTGCCTGTAGAAAACAACTGCTAATTAACATGAATCAAGAGTAAGCCTTGCTAGCTACATTACACAGACATAGCAAAATGGGTCATACAAAATGACAATGAACTGAGTATTGGTGGTATTCTTATATATTTTTGGTTGTGAGCCTCGCCTTTAACAGCTGAGCCATCTCTCTAGCCCTGGTGGTGTTCCTATAGAACCGTTTTCCTAAGCAGTCATTTAGTTCGATGTCAGATGTTGGTTTGCTGTATATTGTTTCTAATATGTTCAGGTATGTTCCTGTTATCCCTGATCTCTCCAGGACATTTACCATGAAGGGGTGTTGGATTTTGTCAAATGCTTTTCCAGCATCTATTGAGATGATCATGTGGTTCTTCTTTTTCAGTTTGTTTATGTGGTGGATTCTACTGATGGATTTTTATATGTTGAACCATCCATCCCTTCATCCCTGGGATGAAGCCTACTTGATCATGGTGGATGATTTTTCTGATGTGTTCTTGGATTCAATTGGTCAGTTTCTTATTGAGTATTTTTGCATCAATATTCATGAGGGGTATTGGTCTGCAGTTCTCTTTCTTAGTTATGCCTTTGTGTGGCTTGGGTACCATGGTAATTGTAGCCTCGTAAAAATAATTTGGCACTGTCCCTTCTATTGTGTGGAAGAGTTTGAGGAGTGCTGGTATTATCTCTTCTTTGAATTTCTGGTAGAATTCTGCATTATAACCATCTGGCCCTGGACTTTTTTGGTTGGGAGACTTTTGATGACCACTTCTATTTCATTAGGAGTTATACATAAGTTTATTGAAATTGCTTATCTGTTCTTGATTTAATTTTGTTAAGTGATATCTATCCAGAAAATTGTTCATTTCGTATAAGTTTTCGAATTTTGTGGAGTACAGGTTTTCAAAGTATGATCTGATGATTCTCTGGATTTCCTCAGTGTCTGGTTGTTATGTCCCCCTTTTCATTTCTGATTTTGTTAATATATATGCTCTCTTTCTCTCTCTGCCCTTTGGTTGGTTTGGATAAAGGGTTGTCTATCTTGTTGATTTTCTCAAAGAACCAACTCTGTATTTCATTGATTCTTTGTATTGTTTTCATTGTTTCTACTTTATTAATTTCAGCCCTCATTTGATTATTTCCTGGCATCTACTCCTCCGGGGTGACTTTGCTTCTTTTTGTTCTATAGCTTTCAGTTGTGCTGTTAATTCTCTAGTGTGACTATTCTCCAGTGTCTTCATGTAGGCATTTAGTGCTATGAATTTTCCTCTTAGCTCTGCTTTCAAAGTGTTCTATAAGTTTGGGTAGTTATGTTTCATTCTCGTTGCATTCTAGGAAGCCCTTAATTTCTTTTTTTATTTCTTCCTCGACCAGGAATGGTTCAATTGCGCATTATTGAATTTCCATGAGTTTGTAGGGTTTCTGCAGTTTGTGGTGTTGTTGAATTTTAACTTTAAATCATAGTGATCTAATGGGATACAAGGGGTAATTCCAGTTCTTTTTCCTATGTTTCCTAGTATGTGGTCGATTTTAGAGAAGGTTCCATGTGGCGCTGAGAAGAATATATATTCTTTTGTGTTTGGATGGAATATTCTACAGATGTGTGTTAATCCCAATTAGGTCATAATTTCTGTTAGTTCCTTTGTTTCTTTAAGTTTCTGCCTGGTGGTCCTGTTTAGTGGTGAGAGTGGGGTGTTGAAAAATCCCAATATGAGTGTGTGAGGTTTTATGTGTGATTTGAATTTAGTAATGTTTCTTTTATGAATGTGGGTGTCTTCATATTTGGGGCATAGATGTTCAGAATTCAGACTTCATCTTGATGGACTTTTCCTGTGATGAATATGACATGACCTTCTTTATCTTTTTTGATTGATTTTAGTTTGAAGTCTAATTTGTTAGATATTAGGATTGCTACACCACCTTGTTTCTTGGGTCCATTTTATTGGAAAATCTTTTCCCAACCCTTTACTTTGAGGAAACATCTGTCTTTGATATGGAGATGTGTTTCTTGAATAAAGCAGAAGGATGGATTTTGTCTTTATATCCATTCTGTTAGCCTGTGTCTTTTTTTATAGGCAAGTTAAGGCAATTGCCATTAAAGGATATTAATGACCATGGATTGTTAATTCTTGTTTGTTTTTGTTTTGGTGGTGGTGGTGGTGGTATTGTGTGTGGATTTCCTCCCATTTTTTCTTTAGGTGTTTGGTAAAGTGGGATTATCTATTGCCTATGTTTTTGTGAGTGTAGTTAATTTACTTGGGTTGGAGTTTTCCTTCCAGTACTTTCTGTAGGGCTGGATTTGTGGATACATATTCTTTAAGTCTGGTTTTGTCATGGAATATCTTGTTTTCTCTATCTATAGTGATTGAAAGTTTTGCTGGGTATAGTAGTTTGAGCTGTCATCCTTGTTCCCTTAGCTTTTGTAGAACATCTCTCCAGGACCTTCTGGCTTTTCAGACTTTCTGTTTAGAAGTCGGGTGTTATTTGGATAGGTCTGCTTTTATATGTTACTTGGCTGTTTTTCTTTGCTGCTCTTAATATTTTTCTTTATTCTATAAGTTTGGTGTTTTGATTATTTGTGGCAAGAGGACTTCTTTTTGTGGTCCAGTCTATTTAGTGATCTGTCAGCTTCTTGTACTTTCATAGGCATATCCTTCTTTAGGTTGGAGAAGTCTTCCTCTATGATTTTGCTGGGTATGTTTTCTGAATCTTTGAAGTGTATTTCTTCACTTCTTTCTATACCTATTATTCTTACATGTATGTAATCTATGTAATTCTTAGACTTTTTCGGTCATCCCCAGTGTTATTTACCCCTCCTCTCTCTCTCTCTCTGCTTATGTGTCTTACCCCCAAATGTAGTATACCTGGCTCTATTTTCCCCATTCCCCCCTTCATATCACAGGTATCCTCCTGTTGTCCTCTCTAGAGCTCCTGTCATGGCCCTGTTGTCCTCTCTAGAGCTCCTGTCATGGTCCTGTTGTCCTCTCTAGAGCTCCTGTCATGGTCCTGTTGTCCTCTCTAGAGCTCCTGTCATGGTCCTGTTGTCCTCTCTAGAGCTCCTGTCATGGTCCCCCTTTACTTTCCTGTTTCCTGCAGTTCCTCCAGGCCATGTATTCACATCTAAAGGTTTGGAGTCAGGAACCATAAATGAGAGGGTGCATGCAGTCTATCTTTCCAGTTCTCTGTTACAGCTCTAAATATAATATTTTATGGTTTCATCTATTTGCCTTCAGCATTCAGCTTTTCTTTCATTGTTGTTGTTATTGTCTTGTTTTTTTCAAGACAGGGTTTCTCTGTCAGGTAGCCCTAACTGTCCTAGGACTTGCTCTGTAGACCAGGCTGGCCTCAAACTCAGAGATCTGCCTGCCTCCACCTGGGATTAAAGGTGTGCCCCACAGCTCCCAGACCCCAGAGTGTGTATATACCACATTTTAATTATCTAGTTATTAGTTGAAGGATATTTTCATTGTTTTCCATGTGTTATGACTAGGGCAGCAATGAACATGGCCAAGTAATTATCTGTGGAGTAGGATAGCTAGGTCGTTGTGTATATTCTAGGAAGTGGTGCATCTTTTATGTGATACATTTATTTTTGGCTCTTTAAAAATTATCCTTACTGGCTTCCATGGCAGCTGTCCCTGTCTACAATCTCACAACAGTGAATGAGTGCTCCCATTTTCTGTTTACAGTCTCACAACAGTGAACGAGTGTTCCCATTTTCTGTTTGCAGTCTCACAGCAGTGAATGAGTGCTCCCATTTTCTGTTTGCAGTCTCACAACAGTGAATGAGTGCTCCCATTTTCTGTTTACAGTCTCACAACAGTGAATGAGTGCTCCCATTGTCTGTTTACAGTCTCACAACAGTGAATGAGTGCTCCCATTTTCTGTTTACAGTCTCACAACAGTGAATGAGTGCTCCCATTTTCTGTTTACAGTCTCACAACAGTGAATGAGTGCTCCCATTTTCTGTTTACAATCTCACAACAGTGAATGAGTGCTCCCATTTTCTGTTTACAATCTCACAACAGTGAATGAGTGCTCCCATTTTCTGTTTACAATCTCATAACAGTGAATGAGTGCTCCCCTTTCTCTGTTTACAATCTCACAACAGTGTGCTCCCCTTTCTCTGTTTACAGTCCCACAACAGTGAATGAGTGCTCCCATTTTCTGTTTACAATCTCACAACAGTGAATGAGTGCTCCCATTTTCTGTTTACAGTCTCCCAACAGTGAATGAGTGCTCCCCTTTTCTGTTTGCAATCTCACAACAGTGAATGGTTGCTTCCTTTTTTCTGTTTACCATCTCACAACAGTGACGAGTTCTCCCCTTTCCCCCATCATTTCCAGCACTTGTTGTCAGTTGTTTTCTTTATTTTAGACATTCTGACCAGGTCAAAATGAAACCACATTTGTTTTCATTTTGCATTTACCTAACTGCTAAGAGCAACGAGCAAGTTTAAAGATATCCCTTAGCCATTTTTATTTCTTCTTTGGAGGACTCTCTTCAGATGTGGGACACATCTTTCAACTGTGTCGATTGTTTTCTTGACTCTATCTTCTATAACCTGGATATTGGTCGTCTGCCAGGCGAATGCCTAGCAGTGGCTCTCCCCCTTCCTCTCCTCTCTGTTGTCACTCAGTGATGGATTCCTTAACTGTACAGAGGTTTCTATCCACTGTTGTCTCAGTTCCTGTGCATCTGGAGTCCTAGTCAGAAATTCCTTCCCCACACCTACATCATGAAGCACTGCCTACACTTTCTGCTACTACTTTCAGCATCTCAGGCTCCACATTGTGGTCTTC